TTTTTTCCAGATTCGCCCAGAGGATTCTTATGTGGGGTTCTTCCGTCGGAGTAATTTCGAGCGTCTTGGCGCCTTATTGGGCCGTCTGGGGTGATGCTACGCGCCGTCGACCGATGATTCAGCGATTTTGGGAATTCCTGGACCTTTTGTGAATGTGTTTTCGGAGGGCTCCGAGCCAAGCCTGGGGAGCCCACGCTGCCGTGGAGGAGCTCTGTCTGGGGCCGTCCGGCTTCGGGTCGTCACGGGGGTGGGGGGGGAATCATTAGACACGCTTAGAGACCGGCAGGGGCACGCCGGAGTATAGAGGCGGTGGATCGGCTTCTTTGCGGTGACATTGTCGCTACGGGCGGGCTCCGTGCCAGGGCCTCGTGGCCCGCGCCGTACTTCCCGCCGTGCCTGCGTTGTGGGTACCAAGCCTTCGGGAGGTCTCCGTTATAATTTCGCTTGGAGGGTTCCCGCGGGTGTCTTGGGGTCAGTGTCAAAGGTTTTTGGGGGCTGGTACGGGGCCGCTGTGAGTCCTGCGACGAGGACGACGACGATGATGGGGTCATGGATGTTGATCGGGATCACGGGATTGACGTCTCGGGGGCTGCCTGGAGGCTGGTTGGAGGCGTCTTGGGAGCCGTGTCAGGGCCTCCTGGGGCCTCTTTTGGACCTCCGGGTGGGTGCCTGGGGCCTCTTAAGGGGCCTCCTGGGGGTCCCTTGGAGCTCCGAGTTTTTGGGGCCACGTGGGGCCTCGTGGAGCTTTTTGGAGCCCCTTCTTGGTCCCGTATCGGGGTCGTCGTGGACCGTGTTGGGCATCCTGTGGGCCGTTTTGGGGCCCTCTTCTGCCGCCCTGGGGCTCTTTTGGACGCCTCTGGGGCTGTCTTGGAGCGCCTTCGGGGGCCTCTTGGGCCATCTTGGAGCGTCGGGTAAGAGAAAGGGCGAAGCGGTTAAAAAGGTACGTTTTACAGTCGGGCCATTTTTCAGTCGGGGAAGCCCTCTTGGGACGCATCTTGGGGCTCTCTTGGGGTGTCTTGAAGGCTCCGGAGGCCGTCTGGAAACCGTCTGCAGGCCATCGTCGTCGTCTTCGACCGTTATTTTGGCGAGTCGCTGCCTTCTTGGACCGTCTTGGGCGCCTCTGGGGGCCTTTTTGGCCCGTCTTCGGGCCCTCCATGCCCCGGCGGCGCGTTCGTACGGGGCCTGGGGGGGGGGGTCCAATCTCCGGTTTGGGGTCCCTTGGGGGGGGCTATGGGGGGGGAACAATCTCACAAGCCTAGAAACCCACAAGGGGTCGGCGGACTACTACTACTACTACGTCTAAATCGTAGTACGACGATTTTCATTATTACTACCACTACTACAACTACGACTACTACTACTACTACGGCTGCTATATTTTTAGTACTACTACTAGTACCACTTTTGTTTCTACTTCTACGTTTACTATTACTACTACTATTACTACTACTACTACTACTACTACTACTACTACTACTACTACTACTACTACTACTACTTTTACTACTACTACTAGTACTACTACTACTGCTACTACGACTACTACTCCTGCTACTACTACTACTACTCCTACTACTACTACTACTACTACTACCACCACTACCACTACTACACTACTACTACTACTACTACTACTACTACCACTACTACTACTACTACCTACTACTACTACTACTACTACTACTACTACTACTACGACTGCTATACTACTACGACTACTACTACTACTACTATTACTACTACTACTACCTACTACTAACTACTACTACTACTACTACTACTCTACTACTACTACTACTACTACTACTACTACTACCACTACTACTACTACTACTACTACTACTACTACTACTACTACTATTACTACTACTATTACTACTACTACTACTATTACTACTACTACTACTACTACTACTATTACTACTACTACTACTGCTGCTACCACCACCATTACTACTAGTATTACGACAACTACGATTACTACAAGTACTACGGGCTTTACGACTACGACGACTACTATTATTACGACTCGTGCTATTATTTTAAGGAAGTTTGGTATTGCTACGACTATCACCACTACTTTTTCTTCTCCGACTACTACTATTCCTACGACACTACTACTACTGCTACTACTACTACTCCTACTACTTCTACTAATTCTACTACTACTATTACTACTACTACTACTACTACTACTACTGCTATTGCTACCACTACTACTTCCACTATTACTAAGACCGCTACTGCTGTTACTACTACTACTACGACTACTGCTACTACTACTTTATTACGACTACTACGGCCACTACGACTACTATTACTACTACTACTATTGGTACTACTACTACTACTACTACCCTTACTACTACTACTACTACTAGTACTACTACTACTACTACTACTACTACTACTACGACTACTACTACTACTACTATTTTTACTACTACTACTACTAGTACTACGACTACTGCTACTACGACTACTACTATTACGACTACAACTATTATTAGTGCTACTATTATGGTTACTACTACTTATGCTACTACCTTTGCTCTGACTATTACCACTACTACTACCACTACTACCACTACTACTACTACTACTACTACTACTACTACTACTACTACTACTACTAGTACTACTACTACTACTACTGCTACTACTACTACACTACTACTACTACTACACTACACTACTACTTACACTACTACTACTACTACTTACTACTACTACTACTACTACTACTACTACTACTGCTACTACCTTTGACTAACTACTCTGACTATTACCACTACGCTACTACCACTACTACCACTACTACTACTAACTACTACTACCTACAACTACTACTACTACTACCACTACCAACTACCTACTACGCTACTACTACTACTACTACTACTACTACTACTACTACTACTACTACTACTACTACTACTACTACTACTACTACTACCACTAACCTACTACTACTACTACTACCTACTACTACTACTACTAACTACTACTACTACTACTACTAACTACTAACTAACTACCACTACTACTATTACTACTACTAACTACTACTACTACTACTATACTACTACTACTACTACTAACTACTACTACTACTACTACTACTACTACTACTACTACTACTACTACTACTACTACTACTACTACTACTACTACTACTACTACTACTACTACTACTACTACTACTACTACTACTACTACTACTACTACTACTACTACTACTACTACTACTACTACTACTACTACTACTACTACTACTACTACTACTACTACTACTACTACTACTACTACTACTACTACTACTACTACTACTACTACTACTACTACTACTACTACTACTACTACTACTACTACTACTACTACTACTACTACTACTACTACTACTACTACTACTACTACTACTACTACTACTACTACTACTACTACTACTACTGCTACTACTACTACTACGGCCCCCAAGACCGCCCCAAGACGCCCCAAGAGGCTCCCAAGAGGCCCCAAACACGGCCCAAGAGGGACCCACGACGGCCCCAGAGGCGCCCAAGACGGCCCAAGACGGCCCCAAGACGGCCCCAAGAGGGGGACCACGAACCGAAAAGTTTAGCTTTTCGCCCCAAGAAGCCCCCAGGAGGCCCCGCGAGCCCTCAAGAAGCCCCAAGAGGCGTCCAAGACGCCCCCAGGAGGCAAAAACTATGGTTTTCTCATGGGAAACGTACATTTTAGCATATACGGCTTTTCGGCTTTCACGGCGTTGAAGACGGTCCGAGAGGCCCCCAAGTTCGCCCCAAGACAGCCCAAGAGGGTCCCAAGAGGCCGCCAATAGCGGCCCAAGGGGGCCCCAAGACGGCCCAAGAGGCGCCCAAGACGGCCCAAGAGGGTCCCAAGACGGCCGCAAGAGGGGGACCACGAACCGAAAAGTTTAACCTTTCGCCCCAAAGAGCTCCCAGGAGGACCCAGGAACCCCACAAGAAGCCCCAAGAGGCCCCCAAGAGGCCCCCAAGAGGCCCCCAGGATATCCCAAGAGGCTTCCACGAGCCCCAAACGAGGCCCTCAAACGGCCCACAAGTTCTTGACACCAAGGCCCAGCCAAGGCTCAGGACCGGGCGGCAACGTAACAATCTCTGAACATCAAGGCCCCCACGAGGCCCCCAAGAGGCCCCAAGAGGCTCCCGAGAGGCCCACAAGAGGTCCCAAAACGGCCCATCAGAGACTTCGACACTGGCTCCATCAGGCCCGCCCCAAGAAGTTCCCAGGAGGCCCCACGAGGCCCCCAAGAAGCCTGCAGAGGTCCCCAAGAGGCCCGAAGAGGCCCGAAAAGGTTCTTAAGAGACCCAAAAGAGCGACGATGATGATGGTAATGCTGGAGATGATCGTGATGATGGTAATGCTGGTGATGAGCCTCGACGGGTTCATTCCCAAGTGGGCCCTTGTGGCACTCCCGGGGACTGACCCAAGACGGCTCAAGACGGCTCTCAGATCGCTCCAGGAAGGCCCAAGACAGTGTGTAGGAAAACAACAGCGCAGTGGACCCTCAAAGAGTCTCGGAGTCTGCCTTCACAGGACTCGCGTGGACCGTCTTGGAGGCCATCTGGGACCTTCTCGCACGAACTTGGAGGCCATTTTGGCCGTCTTGGAAGCCATCTTGGAGGCAGCCCGTCGCCCAGATGACGGAAAGCGCGCGTAGCGTCGCGATCCGTTCGTCGGGAGAAATAGTAAGGGGGGTGTGGGTTGTAGGCAGCCGCGTGCCCAGATGACGGAAAGCGCGCGTAGCGTCGCGATCCGTTAGTTGGGAGAGATACCAAGGGGGATATGGTGGGTAGGCAGCCGAGCGCCCAGATCCAACGGCACATGTTTTTGTCAGTTTCGGTCCAAGACGGTCCAAGGCAGCCCCAAGAACGCGGAAGAGGCCCCCAGGACGGCCCAAGACAGCCCCAAGAGCGCCCAAGACAGCCCCAAGAGCACCCAAGATGTTGCGATTCCGTAGTCAGTTTGGCTCAAGCAATTTTGGCTGAAGCCCTGTTTCCCCACGCCGTTAAGCCAGTATCAACCATCAGCCCTTCGTACGTAAGGAATAGTACAGTCCAGCATCGGCAATGATATCAAAGAGGTCAAATCCGATTGTGTACTCAATTTTTTTAAGTTTGTGCGATATAGGAGTTTTGAGCTTGCACTTGAAGGCGAATGGGACAACGCCATGCGATTTGACGAAAGGGAGATGGCAGATGTCAGCGAAGCCGCCATTGTATGACATATCTCATGTCGACGGAGAATTCAAATGCCCCCGCAGCAAATCAGATGACATTACTAAATACGCATGGGTTCCAGATGACTGTGAGTTACCACTTTTCAACGCAAGCAAAATGCAGCACATCTTTTCTCGGCGTCCCATATTCATGGTCGGGGATTCGCTAGTTCGCAACACCTACGAATCATTGCGCATGTTAATGCCAACGGTTGATAACATACATTTTGACTTTGACCGGTATCTTGGACATAGGTGTGGTGCACCTAATGAGCCGGCAGCAAAAGAGCAATTTCCCATTGAGCGCGATCACGATAGTTTGGGACTGAGTGGTTGCGCTGTGGATCTTGACGAAATTTCTACCATGGGCAAGTTTGGCAAGTTATTGAACAGCTCTATCCTGATGCTCGGTGGTGGACACCATTTTGCGCGTCGTGGCAACACATATCACTATAGAGACAGGACTCTCGAAGACACGGGTGGACGTATCAATATTGAGGCATTCACCATTGCTATTGAACTTGTGTTTCGCACATTAGAGAAGATGGCATTCACAGGAGACGTCATTTTACAAACCTATAGCCCAGGGCATTTCTTTCATGGCGATTGGGATTCGCATGGCAGTTGTAACGGACAGACGGGGCCAGTGAATAACATTAGTGAGTACGCCGATTTAGGATCTGCGTCTTTCTCGGACATCGAAGCAGTAAACTCGATGTTGCGTTCCACTGCCAAGAATCCAGACTGGAAGTTCGGTGTTCGTATTTTCGATATCACCGCCATGAGCTGGGGACGAGCAGATGCTCATCCTGGTGAAGTCTCCAATGATTTACCCGGCAAGATCACCAAAAATGATTGCCAGCATTGGTGCTTGCCAGGAGTTCCAGACGTTTGGAACCAGGCCTTGCTACACATACTGAGCGATCTGTTCGCGTGAGGATCTTGCCAGATAGTAGCAGAGCGTGGGCCCCAACAGCCGGTTCATTCAGATTTCCTTCGCAGCGCAGAAACTCTTGGCGAGGATTGGCCCGTCATTGCAAATTCAACGCAGACCACAAAAGGGAGGATACTGTTTCCTGGGGCAAACACACTAGTCGCTCACATCGGTTATCGAGCGCGTGTGCGCATCAGAGTTGTATGAATACGATTGGAGTTGCTTCGGTTACCAGACGCCGGACGTGTCCGAGGCATGAGGTTGCAAACGAGTGTGTTCAAGTGTCGCCATCGTCAATCACCATCATCGTAATTTTGTGTTCATGCACGTGTTTGGCGCGCCGACCTGTATTTAGGGCGTGGTTGGCGTCTCCACCTTGCTTGCGTTTGCCTGGTCGACGCGCGTTTGGCGCGTCGCCTGGTGACTGGCGCGCGTTTGGCGCGTCGCCTGCCGCGCCGTTCGGGAGGAAACATTGTGGCGTGGAGATTAAAGTTTTTTTGAGAGCACCCAAGATGTTGCAAGACGGCGTTGGAGAGGTCAAGAGCGCTCAACGAGGGCCCAGCATGGCTTTCAGGCAGCCCAAGAGGCCCCGCATACGCCCCAAGAGGCCCCCAAAGGGGACCCCCAAGAGGCAAACATCGTCCCATTCCATTCGGGAACGTAGGTTTCTAGCATACTCGTTTCTTTGCATTTCACAGCGAGACGGCCCACGAGGAACCCCAAACGGCCCAACAGGGTCCCAAGACGGCCCCAGGAGAGCTCGAATAGGGCTCGAAGAGGCTCCCAAGAGGGCCCCCAGAGGCCGCCAAGAGAGCCCCAAGAAGGCCATCCAAGACGCCGCCCCAAGACGGCCCCAAACGGCCGCAAGACGGCCCAAAGGTGCCCCAATATGGCTCGCCGCTGCACGAGAAAAGGACATGTGGAGTTTCATCCCTTCCGCGTCGTACCCGGGTCTCCCGCACACACGCACACCTCCCCTCCCTCCTCCTTCCTCCCCTCCTCCACTTCCTTCCTCCCTTCACCCACACGTAACCCATGCATGGCACGTGCATCAAACACGCGTCTACATGCAGCCGCACGCATGCACACATTCGCACACTCGCACACACACACACAGCATACGCTATACAACGCTAGTGCACGCCTGGCGTGTTCACTGCATGCTACATCCAAGGCGTATGCACCACATACTGGGCACCCACATGAGACACACGTCCAGATACGGCCGCACACGCATCATACACATACACAGGACACGCCATACGCAAAACACACGCGTAGGTTGCGCAGGGCTCGGCAGGCGTGGCACTATCTTGCCACTAGAGGGGGTGCACAGGGGGTGGTCCCTCAGCGCGGTCTCTATACGCGCCAATGTCGCAGGGCCTAGCAGGCGTGGCACTTTCTCGACACCGGAGGTTCTGCGCAGGGGGTGGTCCCTCAGCGCGGTCTTTATTCGCAGGACAACCACAGGCCCAAAGCGCGACCGCCACTTGTTGACACCTTCCTCGTGGCGTCTTCTAGACACCACAGGGGGTGCGCACGGGGTGGCCCGTGAAGCGGCCGCTATCCGTGACGGTCGTCCAGGGCACGGCAGGCGTGGCGTCTTCTCGACACCACTTGGAATACATGCGCGCCAACAGGAGGTGCGCACGGGGTGGTCCCTGAGCGTGGCCGCTGTCCGTGACGGTCGTCCAGGGCATAGCAGGCGTGGCGGTTTCTCGACATCACAGGGGGTGCGCACAATGTGGTCCCTGAGCACGGCCGTTATCCGTGACACTCGTCCTGGGCGCAGCAGGCTTGGGGTTTTCTCGACACCACACGGGGTGCGCACGGGGTGGTCTTTGAGCGCGGCCGCTATCCGTGACAGTCGTCCTGGGCGCAGCAGGCGTGGCGTTTTCTCGACACCACAGGGGGTGCGCACGGGGTGTTCTTTGAGCGCGGCCGCTATCCGTGACGGTCGTCCTTGCCCTAGCAGGCGTGGCGTTGTCTCGATACCACACGGGGTGGGCACGGGGTGGTCCCTGAACGCGGCTGCCATCCGTGACGGTCGTCCAGGGCACGGCAGGCGTGGCGTTTCCTCGGCACCACAGGGGGTGCGCACGGGGTGGTCCTTGAGCGCGGCCACTATCCGCGACGGTCGGCCTTGCCCTTGCAGGCGTGTCGTTTTCTCGACACCACAGGGGGAGCGCACGGGGTGGTCCCTGAACGCGGCGTTATGTGTGACGGTCGTCCAGGGCACAGCAGGCGAGGCGTTTTTCTCGGCACCACAAGGGGTGCGCACGGGGTGACCGCTATCCGTGACCGTCGTCCATGGCACGGCAGGCGTGGCGTTTTCTTGGCACCACAAAGGGGTGCGCGCGGGGGCGTCCCTGAGCGCGGCCGCTATGCGTGACCGTCGCCCTTGCCCTAGCAGGCGCGGCATATTGTCGACACCACAGGGGGTGCGCACGGGGTGGCCCGTGAAGCGGCCGCTATCCGTGACGGTCGTCCAGGGCACAGCAGGCGTGGCAGGGTGCGTCATGGGTGGTTTCTGAGCACGTCCGCTATCCGTGATGGTCGGTCAGGGCACAGAAAGCGTGGCGTTTTCTTGACACCGCAAAAGGGTGCGCCATGGGTGGTTCCTGAGCACGTCCGCTATCCGTGACGGTCGTCCAGGGCACAGAAGGCGTGGCGTTTTCTCGACACCGCAAACGGAGTGCGCACGTGGTGGTCCCTGAGCGCGGCCGCTATCCGTGACGGTCGTCCAGGGCACAGCAGGCGTGGCGTTGTTCTCGACATCACAGGGGGGCGCGCATGGGGGTGGTCCTTGAGGGCGGCCTCTATCCATGACGGTTGTGCTCACGGCACATTTGTACACAAGTTTGCTACCCGTGCCGGTCGTGCTCAGGGCACAGGGGGACGCAAGCGAGGTGAATGGGATCACCACCCAGATTTTCAGCCACCTTGGCTCGTGCCAGCTCAGACCGCTCGGGTTTGCACGCAGGCGTGCTCGCGACGGTGATTGTCCGTCAAAGGTGCGGCGCCCGTCACGGCGCCCAAATGTGCCATGTCCGCGCCTCCGCGAGCGCCCAACGGTCACCAACATCATTTTCACATGCTTCACTTCAGCTATCATCACTCCAGCCATAAAGATAAGTATGTGGGGTTCCTCGGTACCCTAATTTTTCCTTCTGCTCGTACTCCTCGCGCTTTTCTCTTCATTCCGGCCTTTTCGGCGATTCAAGTGGTGTTTTCTTTCCTCGCTCCGCCGTATGAGCCGCGCCGGCCGCCGTCGCCGTCGCCATCGTCCTCGTGGTTCTCGCCACTGCACGAGATAAAGGGCTCCGGGTACCTCGAAGTATCTATGGATCCTTCTCCCCGTCGCGTGTCCCTCCGCGGCCGCCCCGACGTTCGGTAACACCAAAAGCTCTTCACACCAAGGCTCCCAACAACGAACGGTGACGTGACAACCTCGTTGCACCAAGGCTCCCAAGACCGAAAGATTACGCAAACAACTCTAAACACCAAGGCTCTGGAGAGCGAGCGGCAAAGTAAACATCTCTGACCACCAAGGCTCCCAAGAGCGAGCGGCAACGTAACCATCTCTGAATACCACGGCTTCCAAGAGCGAGCGGTGACGTAACCAACCCTTAACGCAAGGTTCCCAAGAGCGCAGGGTGCCATGAGCCATCCCGGGCAAGCTCCTGATGCCCTCTTTCCGTTCCAGTGCCGGCCCAGGTAACGGAAAGATCGAGGTACGAGTGATGACGTTCTAGTGTGGGGGGCGAAGCCCGAAAGGGAGGGGTCCAGTGGAGGGGCGATGAGCGGGGACCCTGAATGTAATGGCCGCCCGGGGGCCGTTTCCCCCGTATTTGTTCGAATGGAGCGGCTCGCGGGCGCCTTCTATTGCCCGTGTCCTTGTATTTCCCAGCCATGTTGTGGTGTTGGGTCTTCGTTTTGAAAGAAGGGCCCCCGCGTTTTCCTCCGCCCCCTCCTCCTCCCCCCTCCTCCCCCTCCTCCCTGCGCTTCACCCACCCAGTACAATGTCTCGTGGCCCCGTAGGGAGCCCCACCGAAAGTCCAGTGTTACCGTCCGCATGCGCCCCCCCCCACCCCGTACAGCGCTTCGTGGCCCCCATCATCCCTCCTCCCTGCGTTTCACCCACCCATTACAGCGTTTCGTGGCCCCGTACCAGAGAAGCCCACTGGAGAAGCTCAGCGAGGGCCCCAGCCCCAGCGAGTTTACACCCCACCGAAGGCCCCAGCGCCACGATCCGCATGCGTCCCTCCCGCCCCCCATCCAGTGCTCAACGCTTCGTGGTCCCATAGGGGGTCCCACCGAAGGTCCCAGTGCTATCGTCCGCATGCGTCCCGCACACCCAGTACAGCGCTTCGTGGCCCCGTGGGGCCCCACCGACGGCCCCAGTGGGACCGTCCGCGTGCGTCCCGAACACTCAATTTTGCATTTTCGCCCACCCAGTACAGCCCTTCGAGGCCCATGGGGAGCTCCGAAGGCCCCAGTGCCACAATCCGCCTGCGTCCCGAAAGCACAATATAGCAGTTTCACCAACCCTGTACAGCTTGTCGCGCCCCATCGGGGACTCCACCGAAGCCCCCAGTGGGACCGCCCGCGCGCGCCCCGAAAGTCCAATTTGGAATTTCCACCTACCCAGTACAGCGCTTCGTGGCCCCACAAGGAGCTCCACCGCAGCCCCCAGTGAGACCGCCCGCATGCGTCCCACATACCTAAGCTGGGATTGTTCCACCCACCCAGTACAATGTTTCGTGGCCCCATCAGGGGGGCCCACCGAAGCCCCCCAGTGGGACCGCCCGCATGCGCCTCCCCCCCCCCCACCTACCCACCCACCCACCCACCCACACCCACACCCACACCCACACCCACACCCACACCCACACCCACACCCACACCCACACCCACACACGCACACACACACACACTCTCACACACACACACACTTTAGCAATTTCACCTACCCAGTACAGCGCTTCGTGGCCCCATAGGGAGCTCCACCGACGGCCCCAGTGCTACCGCCCGCGTGCGTTCCCCCCACCCAGTGCATTGTTCGTGGTCCCATTAGGGGTTTCACCGAAGAAGATATTCACAATTGCGGTACCCACAACTGCACATGGTTGAGTCGTCAGAATGATGTCTAGTGAAGCGGCTCAAGGGCTACAAAACGGCCCAAAAAGCCACCAACGCGACCGAAAGACGGCTCCAAGAGAGCCCCAGATTGCCTCCAGACGGTCCAAGAGAGCTTCGAGACGGCTCCAGAGGCCCTCCAGAGGGCTGTCGAGAGGACCTCAGGAACCCAAAAACATTGATGCCCCTAAGGTTGTTGAAGGTTTTTCGGGCTCTCGCCTTTTCGGGCATAGACGGGCCCAACACGGCCCACGAGGCCCCCACGTTCGTCCCAAGACGGCCCCAGAACCCCCCCTAAAAGGAACCAAGAACTGTCAAAGAGGGGCCCCAGACGGCCCCGGAGGGCCTCCAAACAGCCCCAGATGGCCCCAAGACGGCCCGAAGAGAGCCCCAAGAAGTCCCGCAAGGTTCCCAAGAGACTCCCAAGGGGGCGGCGGAGTGGGGACTGGCCCCGAGATAGCTTAAGAGCACAACAACTGCCCTCAAGAGGGCCTCCGAGAGGGCTTCAGGAGACGAAATATTTTGTGTCTTGTCTCAAAAAGGTTGTTCAATGTGTTGTGATTCTCGCCTCTTCGGGCCCGGAAGGGCCTCAGACGTCCCAAGAGGTCCCACAGATCGCCCCTAGACGGCCCCAGAGGCCCCAAAGGGTCCCAAAACGGTCCAAGAGGGCCCCCCCGACGGCCTCAGATGGCCCCAAAGCAGCTCGAGAGGGCCCCAAGACGCCTCCAAGAGAGCCACAAGAGGGCCCGAAGAGGCGGTGTATGGACTAGGCTGCTTGAGTGTGGGGTCTGGGCTGGCATCAAGCCAGTCCAAGAGTCCTAAAACGGTCCAAATGGGCCACCGAAAGACACCCAAGAAGCCCCAGAGACGCCAAGGAACACCATGGCTCCCCACAGCGAGCGCTGACGTAACAAGCTCTGCACACCAAGGCTCCCCAGAGCGCGGTGACGCGACGAACTCTTCAAAGCACGGCTCCCAAGAGCGAGCGGCAACGTAAGCGTCTTTGAGCACCAGGGCTCCAAAAGGAGAGCGGTAACGCAACACGCTCTAAACGCCAATGCTCCCAAGAGCGAAGGGTGCTATGAGCCCTCTCGAGCAAGTCCCTGCAGCGCTCTTTCCGCTTCCGTGCTGGCCCACATCTGATGGCCCAAGACGGCCCAAGTCAGCCCCAAGAGCGCCTAATACGCCCCCAGGAAGCCCAAGACAGCCCCCAAAGCGCCCAAGATACCTTCCAGACGGTGTCGGAGAGGTCTGAGAGGGCCAGAAGACGGCCAAACAGCGCTCCAAGAGGGCCCAGTACGGCTCCAAGACAGCCCAAGAGGCCCCCAAGACGCCCCAAGAGGCCCCCAAAGGGGACCCCCAAGAGGCAAATATCATCACATTTCGGGAGGAACGCGTGCTTTGTGAGCAGATTCGATGTTTTGATCATCATAGCGTCCACATCTGCCCAGGAGGCCCACAAGACCGCCCCAAGACGGCCCCAGAGGTCCCCAAGGCTGCCCAAGTGACCGTCAAGATGGCCACAGAGAGCTCCAAGACGGCCCAAGAAAGGCCCCTGAGGGTCCCAAAAGGTTCCCAAGAGAGCCCCAGCAGGGCCACAGGAGGTCCCCAAGGGGACCCAGGGGGGCCCCAAGACGGCCCCAAGACGGGGCCCAAGCCCGCCAGGACGGTCCAAGAGGGTCCCGAGACGTCCCAAAGGACCCGAAGACGGCCCAAAGGAGCCCCAAAAGGACCAGCAGAAAGGCCCGGAGATGCAATATTCATTGATTTTCGCAAGGTTGGTTGCTAGATTTTTGCGTGTCGCACCCGAGCGTTAACACCAACAGGGCTCCAAGACATCAAGCCAGCGACCTCACAAAACAAACGCGCTTTCCGTCCCCATGCCAAGCAGGTAACGGAAAGAGCGAGGTACGAGTGATGACGTTGTGTTTGGGCGAAGCCCTCTAGGATGAGTGCAGATGGGGGGGGAAGGGCGGAGGGATGGGACCTAATGGTCTCTCGGGGCGTTTTGGAGGCTTCTTGGGCCGTCTTTGGCGCTCAAAACGGTCCAAGAGGCGTCCAAGACGGCTCCAAGACGGTCCAACATGCCCAAGACGGCCCAAAGACGGCCCAAGAGGCTTCCGAGACGCCCCGAGAGTCGCCCAAGAGGCGCCCCAAGAGGCCCCCAAGATGCGAAAATCTTTGATTTGGCGAATGAAAAACGTATATTTTTAGCATTTTCGGCTTTTCTGTTTTCACGGCGTTGAAGGCGGTCCAATAGGCCCCCAAGATCGCCCCAAGAGGCTCCCAGGAGGCCCCCCAAAAACGGCCCAAGAGGGCCCCAAGACGGCCCAAGGGGCGCCCACGACGGCCCATCCCCAAGACGGCCGCAAGAGGGGGACCACGACTTGAAAAGTCTAGCTCTCCGCCCCACGAAGCCCCAAGGATGCCCCACGAGCCCCTCAAGAAGCCCCAAGAGGCGTCCCAAGAGGCCCCCAGGAGGCCAACATCATTGATTTCTCATCGGGAAACGTACATTTTAGCATACACGGCTGTTCAGTTTTCACGGTGTTGAAGACTGTCCGAGAGGCCCCCAAGTTGGCCCCCAAGACGGCCCAAGAGGGTCCCAAGAGGCCGCCAAAAACGGCCCAAGAGGGCCCCAAGGCGGCCCAAGAGGCGCCCACGACGGCCCAAGAGGGCCCCAAGGCGGGCGCAAGAGGGGAACCACGAACCGAAACGTCTAGCCTTTCGCCCCAAGAAGCTCCCAGGAGGCCCCAGGAGCCCCCCAAGAAGCCCCAAGAGGCCCCCAAGAGGCCCCCAGGATATCCCAAGAGGCCCCCACGAGCCCCAAAAGAGGGCCTCAAACGGCCCACAAGTTCTTGACACCAAGGCCCAGCCAAGGCTCAGGAACGGGCGGAAACGTAACAATCTCTGAACATCAAGGCCCCCAAGAGGCCCCAAGAGGCTCCCAAGAGGCCCACAAGAGGTACCAAAACGGCCCATCAGAGACTTCGACACTGGCTCCATCAGGCCCGCCCCAAGAAGGTCCCAGGAGGCCCCACGAGGCCCCCAAGAAGCCTGCAGAGGTCCCCAATAGGCCCCCAAGAGGCCCGAAGGGGTTCTTAAGAGACCCAAAAGAGCGACGATGATGATGGTAATGCTGGAGATGATCGTGATGATCGTGATGCTGGTGATGATCCTCGACGGGTTCATTCCCAACTGGGTTTTGTCGAAGGGTGGTTTCACTTCCACAGGGGCGGGACTGACCAAACCTGGCCCCTGTGGCACTCCCGGGGACTGACCCAAGACAGCTCAAGACGGCTTTCAGATCGCTCCAGGAAGGCCCAAGACAGTGTGTGGGAAAACAACAGTGCAGTGGACCCTCAAACAGTCTCGGAGTCTGCCTTCACAGGACTCGCGCACGTGGCACCCCCCACGCGCGGAATGTTTGCAAGAGCCCGCGGCAACATGAGAAACTCGGAACAGGGCAGTCGTGCTCCTTGTTCTCCTGCTCGTCGTCGTCCTCCTCCTCCTCCTCCTCCTCCTCCTCCTCCTCCTCCTCCACGTGCTCGCTGCCTCGAGGGTTGAACCTCGCACCCGACCTTATGGTGTCAGCGCCACACGTACCTCGGGCCAGACTAACAGCATGTTGCATCCGCGGCCAGGGTGAGCCTCTACCGGCCACTCTCGCCAGGAACTCCCGTACCCTGAGCCGCGTCTTTTCCTGATGCGTACTCCATGCGCCAGGTCTGGCAACTAGCGCTGGTGCCACTGGTACAACGATGTCCCACCTGTGATCTCAAGATCGGACGGCGTCCTAAAATTTGTCCAAACCGCGGCTCCCAAGAGCGAGAGGTATCATAACCAGTTCTTCACACCAAGGCTTCAAGAGCGAACGCTGCCATGAACGATTTCGGGCCATTTTCTTGAAGCGCTCTTTCCGTTTCTGTGCCGGGCCAGGTAACGGAAAGAGCGAGGTACGAGTGATGACGTTCTGGTGTGGGCGAAGCCCTAAAGGGAAGGGTCCCAGGGGAGGGGGGTAGCGTGCGCATTTGAGTGTTAATGGCCGTTTTTGGGTTTTCCCTAAGGTTTTTGCATGTTTTTCGGGTTCCCCCCCAAGACGGCCCAAGAGCGCTCCAAGAGAGCCCAAGACCGCCCAAGACGGCCCAAGAGGCCCCCAAGAGGCCCCCAAGAGGCGCCCAAGGGGCGTCCCAAGAGGACCCCACAAGGCCGAAATCAGTGGTTTTCTATAGGACAACTTATATTTTTAGCATATGCGCTTTGTCGGCTTTCACGGCGTTGACGACGGCCCAAGAGGCCCCCAAGACCGCCCCAAGACGGCCCCAGAGGCTCCCAAGAGGCCCCCAAAACGGCCCAAGAGGGCGCCAAGACGGCCCAAGGGGCGCCCAAGACGGCCCAAGAGGGCCCCAAGACGGCCCCAGAAGGGGGACCTCGAACCCGAAACTCTAGCCTTTCGCCCCAAGACGCTCCCAGGAGGCCCCAGGAGCCCCCCAAGAAGCCCAAAGAGGCCCCCAAGAGGCCCCCAAAGGGGCCAAAAAAGGGCCGCAATAGGACCCCCAAGAATGCTCAGAGAAGCCAAATAAAGAGCGATCGGTAACGCAAAATGCTCTTCACACCAAGGCTCCCAAGGGCGTACGAAGACGTAAACAAGCTGATAAGACCAAGGCTCCCAGCAGGGAGCGATGACATAACAAGTTCCTGACACCAAGGCCCAGCCAAGGCTCAGGAACGGGCGGCAACGCAACAATCTCTGAACACCAAGGCTCCCAAGATCGCGGGGTGACGTAACAAGCTCTCGACGCCAAGGCTCCCGGTACGAATTGTGGTGTGAGTAATTTCGGTCAAGTTGTTGAAGCGCTCTTTCCGTTTCCGTGCCGGCCCAGGTCCAATGGTTTTTGGCCCATCCGCCGTTCGGTTTTCCCATCTGGGCCCTCTCTTGGAGCTGTTTTTTGAGGCTTCTTGGGCCGTCTTGGGCGCTTTTTGGGTCGTCTTTGGGCCCTCGAGTGTCCCGAAAAGTCATGCGAGAACATTCGCCCGAGCCAAGGGGAACCGCGGTAAGCCCCGGAGGATTTGTGAATTTGGGCTCTGGTCCCTCGAAGATCTTGAGCAGTGAGGGCTGAGGCTCGGGGGATTGGGCAAAGGACCTGGGAACACGCCCGCTCCGTGCCTTGAGGCACGGAGGCGAAAGACCAGGAAATGGAACGACGAGGATTTCTGAGGGGTATGGGCTAAGAAGAGTACGCATTCACACCCCATCACCCACTGATTGCCGACACGGGCCTGATTACGCTCCCCCCCCTCAGGAGCTTGCGAATTCGCTATCGGGGGCTTATCGCCGATCTGTCGGCAATGCACCACTGATTGCAGCTTGGTGTTTCCCCCCGTGAGCCGGTCCACCATATCGGTCCACCTCAGGCGCGCCGACGCCATCCTGCGGGGCTGCTCCTCCTTCTGGGCCAACATGGAGGGGACCGTGGACGTCCTGGCGCGGATGAAGGATCTCGGGGTGGGGTGGAGGGTATCGGTTGTACGCGCGTCGTCCTTCAGGCCGTGCGTGCTGCTCGTTCGTGTTTCGTGCCACCACCTGGTTGCTCCTCAGCACCTTCACGCTGATGGGGTCGTCCGACCAGCTCGACATTGGTACTGTCTCTGCTGTCTGAAGGTCGGGGGGCTATTGAGTTTCTCTCAGGAAGACCCTCCCGCCCTCTCAGGAAGCCAAGACAGCACTCTCGGAAACCTCCTGCGGACCACCCCAAGTTGTCTTGGGAGGCCCCTTCCCCCCTCGCTCCGCCACCCTCTCGCCACCTCACCCCTGCACGCGCCGCCAACAGGAGCACACTGTGACCCTCGCGAACTTTACCGACTACAACACCGAGTTCCGAGGCCGACTGGTGTCACGGCTCAATCAGTACACCGTCTTCTGGTCCTCCTTGGAGCGAGTCTGCAGGCGCTACTGCGACGACTACCGGGCCATGTCAGAAAGCATGGACAGGTGGATGCAGAAGTTCGAGGACGCCACGGACCTCGCCGGCGCCCTTCAGGCGCGGTCCTCGTGGAGGGCTGGAGCCGGCGGAGCTGACGTGTGATATGCACGAGGGAACCGCAGTTTGCATCGACGGGTGGTGCGCTCAGCTCCCGAGTTGACCTGCTGTGGGCCCAGTCGTAGTCTGCAGGCCCGCTGGGACGTGGCTCGGGTCTGCCTCGCCATGGAGAGGAGGTCCTTGCCGGGAAAGGGTCTTTTGGGCTTGTCACCGCTTCTGGTCTTCTAAGATCTTTGCCCAGCAGTGCCCCTTCCCTCTTGCCAACTACAGTGGGTGTCCGCCCTCGTTCTCCCCCGTCCTCTTCAGGTCCGACCATGCATGAGCATGTCCTCGCGTGGCTTCGATCAGCTGGACCGCAGACCTTCTGACACCCCGCCCTCCCGAGACTTGCTCAGTTCGACTGTTCAGATTAGATCACCCGGTTGCTTTCATGCGATATGTATCGATCTTGTGAATCGAGCCGCAGCAGACCGAAGATGACCTCACAGGGTGGACCAGGGCTGGACCTAAACGCTTTTTTGCTGGACGTCGGCTGAGTTGTGTTTTTCGTTGTGGCAGGGAGGTACAGGAAAACAGATACAGCAAAACGAACAAACAACAACAACAACAACAACAACAACAACAACAACAAAAACAAAAACAAAAACAAAAACAAAAACAACAACAACAAAAACAACAACAACAACAACAACAACAACAACAATCATTTTACCCGAACGCTCAGTGTTCTCCCCAGTGCCAGGGTTTTCTTGCGACACCAGCCAATACCCCCACTTCGTGGGGGGGCCGTTCAAGCTCTACCAAATATCCAAACGACTCTTCGAGACCACCCACACCCAGCTTCCCGCCCTATGACGTTGGGACACTTCACTTCGTGGCGTGCGGACGACCCTGGCTACTACACTGGCGTGGGGTACACACCCACAGAGGTTGATCACATTTTTGCAAGGGATGGTGGCCCTCGCAGGCGCGCAACCGTTGTTGGAGAAGTTCAAAGCACCTGAAGAAGTAGCACGCAAAGACCCTTTTGACAGAAATGTTTAAAAAGTGGTGTGTTTCCTATGAATCCGCAAGAGCGCGCGGAAGGACATTTTGACAATTTTTTCTTAAAAAACCATTGGGTTTTTGATGTTTTTATGTTAAAATCGTTACGAAACCTAAGGTTTTGGAAGGATTTCGTCTTGCGAGCGCGAATGTCCACTTTACCTTATTTTTTGCAAGGGATTCTTGAAATTTGATCAACTAAGAACAAGAATTTTCATTTTCTATTGTTTTTTGCAAGGGAAAACGAGCGTCAACAAAAAACCGGATCCGGGGGTAATCCACTTTTCTGAAGCTTTCGCAGAAAAATGATGAAAATGTAGCTGCGGCCTAGGTTTTGGGCGGGGGGCGTGCACCAGGGGGTCCAACAATAATAATTCTTTAGAAGTAATAGTGTTCAACAACAACAACAACAATTACTAGCACGTGGGGACACTCCGTTCTCACCAGTGCCAGGGTTTTCATAGGAGGCGGGCAATACCCCCACTTTGTGGGGGGGCCGGTTCAAGCTCTACCAAATTTCCAAACGACTCTTCGCCACCACCCACACCCAGCTTCCCGCCCTATGACGTTCGGACACTTCACTTCGTGGCATGCGGACGACCGTGGCTACTATTCAGGGCCCCGCGGCCGACGACGACGGCGTGCGCGCGCGAAGAAAAAACGAATGTGTCCCGCATGGTATTATTTGACAGGGATGATGGCCCTGGCAGGTGCGCAACCGTTGTTGCAGAAGTTCGAAAAAGTTGCTCGCAAAAGCCCGTTTGACAGAAATGTTTAAAAAGTGTTGGGTTTCCTACGAATCCGCAAGAGCGCGCGGGATGAGATTTTGACATTTTTTTGTTGAAAAACCATTGGTTTTTTGATGTTTTTATGTTAAAATCGCTCCGAACACTAAGGTTTTGGAAGGATTTCGTCTTGCGCGCGCGAATGTCCACTTTACCTTATTTTTTGCAAGGGATTCTTGAAATTTGATTATATTAGAACAAGAAATGTCATTTTATAGTGTTTTTTGCAAGGGAAAACGGATTACAACAAAACAACCGGATCTGGATCACATCGTTTTACCTGAGGCTTCCTCACGAAAATGATGAAAATGTAGCTGCGGCCTAGGCGGCGCAGGGGGGGCGCGCACCAGGGGGCCCAACAATAATTATTCTTTAGAATAAATAATGTTCAACAACAGCAACAACGCGACCATCAACGTCAAGGTGCAGCCCTGGGGTGGACCTCATTGACTCGTCAACTATGGAGTAGG